CTAGACCCTCAAGCGTGGGTCAAGGCTCAGAATTGCCTTGACCCACGCTTGAGGGTCTAGGATTGAGTGAGGACGTGTGGCATCTATCTCAGGAGGGAAGCCTTTTTCTCAGAAGGGCCAAGGAGGTGGTTGAAGAGCTTTGGGTTTCGAGGCTCGCCCCCGGAAAGCAGAACGCTCCCCCCTGCGCGGTGCGCCCTCCCTTTGCGGCAGGGTCTCTCGATCGCGGGACCCACCACATCCTCAGCATGGCGCTGGGTCAGAAGTTCAAGGCATGGCTGAGTGCGCCTTGCCTACGAATTAAGCACACCATCGCAAGACACGGGGCGGCCTTGCTTGATATCATTCTTACAATGGCTTTCGCTTGGAGATGGCAAACATGCATTTGTTGAAAGCTGCTCCCCGGAGCTCCAGCTAGAAGCCCAATGACCTATGCCAACATTACACCTGATCTCAAGCTGAAGCCAAAAAGCCGACGCCAAAGAAAGGACGAACCCTTCGTCTAAAACCCAATCTACATGTTGTAATCACGAAATCCTAACCCCCGCGATAGAGAAAGCCAAACGACCGCACCGCCGGTGCGTCGCTCGCCCAGCCATCTTTCGAAATCCCTCTCGGGATGGACGGACCCAATGTGGACCTGTCGGAGTATATGATTTGATTTGGTATGATATAGCATAACCCCATAAAACAGAGGACATAATTCATGGAACATAGCCAAAAAAGTACTATGATAAACCAAAACCATACTACCATAGCATATGTTTAACCTAATTTTTTCAGTAAACATCGAATGTAACAAAGAGAAAAAACGGCTTTCGACGGTTTTCCCAGGGTGGAGGGTTACGGTCCTATGACCCAAAGGGTTTAGGGATTTAGGGATTCTACGAAAGGGTTTAGGGTTTAGGGGTTGAGGGATATACCCAAAGGGTCTGAGTAACAGAATCGTACATATTTTGGGGGCCCAAATAGCCACTACGATCCTATACTACATTGGTACTTGGACCCTTTGGCTTATGGGCCCACTATACGCAAGGGTTTAAGAGCACTCAGCCAGAAGGTTTGCGTTTGCGACGCTCCAGTACGCTCGTAGTCTCAGGGTTTCAAGGGGGGCTTCGGGTTCATGCTCGCTGGCTCTACCATTTTTTTGTAGGGCTGCAGCGTTCGGAAGTGTAGGTTCGGCGTGGACTACTTTGCCGATGCTTTCTAGAGAAGTGTCGGCTGGGTCTAAAATGTGGGGCTGGGCATTCCCAGCTCCAGTAATACTTGCAGTCCCCCCTGTGCCTCCTGCGACACAAGACATGGATGTTCCAGATAAGGGTGTCTCTCAGAACTAAGGCAACAAGTCACGATGGTGTTGGTGCATACAGTATGCTTGCAAAATCAACAGCAAGACTTCTGTTCCTGGTAGACGATCGCACTGACAGGCAGCCGAACTGTCATGCTGCAATTTTGTGCAACTTAGGCAAAGGCTCGGGGTGGTGGCCCAACAGCCACAGCCATCCCACCGGTGCCTCTCAAGGCTGGCATCTTGGACAGTTTGGTGTCTCATGGCGGCATGAGTCCGTGTTCAGACGAAACCCTTGAGCACTTTCATTGAGCCTGTATAAGGGCTTTGACTTATGTCCCCTCTCCATGCATGTCATGTAGACATCAATTCAGAGCCCTTTGCTTGGTCCGTTGCCCTATGACCCCGTGCGGGTTTATGTAACATACATAAGCAAAGAATCTATTTATATATATACATATACATACATACATACATATATATATATATATATATATTATACAAACAGAAATATATATGTGCGCATGTATCTGCTCTCACAGCCCGAAGAGGTCTCTCAGTTCCCGATACAGAGGCCAGCTCGGGGCCTTTAAGGCTTAGGGTGAGAGCCCAGGTCAATGTAATCTTGCAAAGTTTCACAGTCACAGGCCATTAGTAAGCTCTTAGTCCAGGGCTTGGCACTCTGGATGTTTAGGTCTCCTCGCTGATCTGTCTCAGGCCCTAAAAACCTCAGCCATCTGGATCGCAGACGATCAGCGATTGCTACACTCCCCCTAAACTGACTGCAAACCCCTAAACCCTGAACCCTAAACCCTAAACCCTAAACCCTAAACCCTGAACCCTGAACCCTGAACCCTAAACCCTAAACCCACAACTGCTACACCATGGAGCCGAATTTTCCAACTTCTCATTGCGAATGCAAGTGTCCTTGCTGTTTAAGTTTGATGTGAGAGGGTTTAGGGTTTAGGGTTCAGGGTTTAGGGTTTAGGGTTTAGGGTTTAGGGACGACGGAGGATACCAAGTAGTCAGAGCACGACTACTTCTACTGCCACCACCGAAATAATATATAAAAGCATAAACACTATCGGTGGTCATATTATAGCATATTACTTGCAATAGCAGTAATCGTAGCAAAACTACTGCGTAGTGCTATAATATTCAACAGCAGCAAGAATAGCGCCCACAGTGGTTAGTGTATGCTAATGTGAGAACAACGGCAAGTAGATGTAAGTAAGGAGAATGCCGCGGCAATCGGGATCCGAGCAGTCATCACAAAAGGAGTGTGAAACAACAAAGAGCAAACTCACCCACTACTTGTGGAAAGTCGCAATAGGATCTTAGTCGCGATGCAAGTTTAATTGACCATGTTTAGACGTAAAAACGATGCGGTCGCAATGGCTAAAACTATCTAGGACCCCTGATAAACCCCCCGTTCACTGACAGATTTGCGACCATGGGTCCCAGAAGCAACTGCCCTGCATGGAAAGGTCCATCACTCTAAACTCCAATCCCCTTTCAGCCCGTATACCCATACCCCAAAACGGATTGACGATAAATCTTGCACCCTAAACCGCTGAACCTATTGGCTCTCAGCGCCTTCGCCCTGAGAGTCTTCCGCTTTGACCTCGGACTTCAGGGTGCGCGGGTCTCAATTTCGGGTCCTTTGGCGTTTCTGGTTGTTCCCGTAAACGGACTCTCGCCGGAGTGAAACTCTGACTCTTTGGACCAGGGGGGGTGAGTTCGCACCCGAATGCTGAAGCATGTATGGTGCAGGCCGTCTGGTTCTGGTTCGTCGAGAAGGCATCGAAGATGTTTGCTGTTGCCGGAAACAGAGAATGTGGGGTTCTATAACAACCCCGCTATGAATCTCCTATCCTCAAACCGGGTTATCGTTTTTGTTTTTACCCCGTCGTCGTTTTACAAGGTACCAAGGCTTATCTCTTATGTACAGGGAACCGTCTTGGGCCTTGGTGCCTTGCAGCATCTTACAACCCATCTCCCAAGATGTCCATGCCTTAAGAACAGGTTGCCAACCCCTCAACTAGCTAGATAGCGAGAGCACCGCATGGCTCATGTCCTTCGAAAGGCACCTCTGTCAAACCAAACTTATCG